CACTATGTAGTGCAGCCTCTTGTCTCCACTTCCTGAGTGTGTGATCAGAGGCTTGCACTAACATGCCCAGCTCTAGCACATTACTGCTGACTGTAGAGCTCTTTCTTCCTAGAAGTCAGGCATCCCCCATCTCCCGTGCACAACTATGGGCACAACACCAATCCATGGCTGTTACAGAGCTAGGCTCACAGGGAGAGCAGTGACTATGAGGTGATCTCTCAACATGGACTTATAACCAGCAGTTAGCAATTCAGCATGTTAAAGTATATTAGAAAAGGGTGCAGAGATAGATGCAAATTAGGAATTAGGGAGTTATGAGGCTTCATAGTTCAAAGAAAGCATGGATAACAGGCTTTGCGATCAAGGACCAAAAGTAACAGAAAGAAAAGATAATTACTACAGAGCTGGTTGCAAGGACAGACTTTTTTCACCATCTTCCCTGAAGCACAAAGAGAAAGCAGTGTGTTAAAGAAACATCAGTGTAAAATCTTAAGACACTTCAAACAGCAGACGAAGGCCCAGCGAGAGAGAGCAGGAGGGGAGACAGATAGGTTGGACCTAGCAGTCCTTGACATAGGTATGGTTCTACAGAATGTTTATCTAACTGGCTATTGTTATTTTATTTTTTTTTTATGAGACAGGGTTTCATCATGTAGTTCAGGCTAGCTTTGAACTCACTATGTAGCTGAGGCTGGCTACAGCCTTGGGGCAATCCAGCCTTAGCCTCCCAAGTGCTGGGATTACAGGTGTGTGCCACCATGTTTGGCTCTTGGCTGTTGATCTTAACAGTTTATCTCAAGGTTGTGTCCCCTGGCTGGAGTACACTGTTTCCAAACCCAATCTTTGTTTCTAAAAAAATAACGTTTTGCATTACCGTTCTGGGATAGTGTTTTCAGGTCTTACTGCTTGAATTGCAAATACCCAACTAGTGCGTTTATTGACCCTGTCTCACTTCCTGTTTCTCCTGCTGGGTTGTTACAAAGCCCAATAAAATTAGCACACTGTTACAGTTTGAAGTTAATTTAAATTGGCGATTACAATTTTGCATCCTAGACACATGATAATCCCTTCCCTTCTACAAAACTCTTAGTAAGTGGAAGACAAGCAACCTTTGAACATAAATAAGAGCATTAAGCCAAGCCGTGCTTCCCAATCATTATCTATTTTGAGAGCATAGTATAATGTATCTAGAACTGTTAAGTTCTCAACCCTCCTAAGTACCTGTTTTCCTTCTGTAGTTTTAGGCTTGTCTCTTAGGATGTGTTTAGCAAGATATCAACAGACAGATATATGGCCTCTCTTTTGGACCCAAATGAAGGTTTTCTAATAATTTTCATCTGAACAAGGGTAATGCTACCTACCTTTAAGAGTATGATGAAAACTAAAAGAATTACATAAAATGGTACTGATCATCTTGTATTTCACAAAAGAGGCCTTAGCATTTCCTTTCTAGACATTCCAGGTAGTTGAGAGCACAGGCCTGACAAGGTATATTAAAATACTTACCTCCAACTATTAATGTCTTTTCACCTTGCTTTTTTTTTTTTTTTTTTTTTTTTGGTACTGGGAATTAAACTCACAACCTTATGCTTGCCAGGCAGGCATTAGACTGCTGAGCTATATGCCCAACAATGTCTTCATCTTTTTAATTGGACATGCAAATTAAATGCTTACTCAAGTGTTAAAGGTGCTAATATGCACAGTCCAGGCCAGTTTGTCCAGAAAAATTATGGATCTGACTGTTCACATATCACACATGCTTGGAAAACTGAGTAATGCCTTCCACCTCCTTTGTTACAATAGCTCTGGACTAGGGATTTGTAGGGGAAAGTGGTGAAAGGCCACCTTAGGAACTAATGCATTACCAACTAAGGTGAAAAGTAGAACTTGTGAAGGAAATGAAGTTAAATGTAATGCATAAAGGTACCTTGAAATTTGGTCACTACAAAGAACAAAGGAAATTCTTCCCACCGGGAAGAGGTCCAAGGACCTCTGACCCATATATTCAGAACACTGATGGTCTTAGCACATGCATTTAAAAAGCACTTAAAAAACCACAGCAGAAGTTTGAGACCTTAACAGATTGTTACCCAAATGCTGACAAAGATTTTTTTGTTTTAAACTCAAGACTTGTTTTCATTTATTTTTAAATTTTTTATTTCTACATACATTTATTGACTACCTACTAAGTGCCAGGTAGGTACTGGGTAATTACAGGGAAACCATGAGTGCTTCAGAGTGCCAGCTGTTCTATGTACAGATGCTTGCTGGATTTGTACAACAGCCCTAGGAGATAGGTGCTGTTTTTGTATTAAGCATAGGGAGGACAGGGTGACTTGCTATTGTGATTTGTTTTTAAATGGAGGCTGGAAAATTCCAGAAAACAGACTAAAAAGTCAGATTTTACTTGTAAGTGCTGGGCTTTGGTCTTTATCAGAAAGAAATGCTTTATCTTGGATGCTACAGTAACAACCCTTGTTGAACTAATAATTCCTTGGACAATAGTGGTAGAAAGGTCCAATGAAGACAGATTTGTAGCATCTTTTCAATTAGTAGATGTGAAAGCTTGATTGGAAAGAAAAAAAGATTTCAACACACTCTCTAATAATAGGAAAAAAACCAAGGTAAATGTCTACCTGCTGCCAGGATCTCGGTATCAGTGATCAAGATGCTTTCTGTCTCCTCTGATGCCAAGGGAGGAAGCCAGCACCACATCTCAGTCATCACCGCTCTTAATGGCTCACAGCTCAGAGCAGTGGTGGTAAACCCATAGCATGGCGTGTGTGGCGCACGTGGCGCAGCAGGCTGTTTGCTGAACACTCTTAAGAGGTTCACCTCACCGTCACTGGTCTAGAACCTTGATGTCTACCCTGCCACAAATCTAGAAGGAAGTGAGTCTATTTTGATATCTTTCACTATAATTAACACGAGGACCCAAACTTCTGAGGGTAACAGCGTTCAGCCAAGCCACTGAATAGATGATATACAAGAGACAAATGAAAATGGACTGCGTAACACATCAGATCCAAGCAGCAGAAAACGAGGACAAGGAAGGAGTAAAGGTGTTACACACAAAGAGCCAAGCAGGGCGTACTCAGAAATCGGGTCCTCCTGCCACCAGGCTTGAATGTCACCTGCTCAGATGCACAGTTAAACTTCGCACAGCCTGTGAGGGGGAAACAGGGAAGAACAGAGAAAGGAGAAGAGACAGAACACAGCTACAAGGTGTTAGAAACTTGAGGCTGGCATGGTGAAACGCACTAAGATGACACACAAAAGACTACTTCTGTGGGAGGTCCACTGGGTGAGAAAGGAAGTATCGGGCCTGGATTCTCTCCGTCTGCACAAGGCTGAAACTTGTTTTTACAGGAATGATGCAATCTACTTTATGTTCCTTAACAGCCAAATACATCTTTGTTGTGAAGAGACAATTTAATTTGCATGAAACTGTGGCAGAAGCACCTGAGATAGCTGTATTTTTAAAAATACTTTTCCATCTAGATATGCAACTCTTTTCAATTCTTATTCTAGTGTTATTGGAAACTCTTTTGTCTGCAGGCATGCTTTGAGCAGTAACTGATAAAACTATTTGGAAAGTAGATTATGGATGAAAAAATTAAATTGTAGGGCTCGTTATCTTAGGTTGCCAGTCCTGTACTTAGAAGTTATAAAGTGCACTTTGGTTAAGAAAACACATTAGCTTTCGGAAAGTACTAAAACTTTTTAGAATTTGGTCCAGGAAGTCTCAATCTAGTACTGAAGCCTGTATTGCAAATTCCAAATGAGTTACTCATAGGTTATAACTTTTCACTGTAATCCCCTGAAAAAAAGCTCTTTTACCCAGTGGGAGCAATAGGCCCAGTTATTCTAATCATCACTAAACTTCCCTGCTCAACCCAAGTATTTATCAGTGTACCACAAGCAGGCTTTGTTCTGGTTAGCTGGCAATAATAGGTTACATATCTGGCTTTTGTCCCAGGTCAATGTTTCCAGAAAATGAAGGTTGTTTTGATTTCTTACCTTGACCTGGAGCCGAAAGGCTTGGTACTGAAATGGCACCATCACTAGTGAAGGCTGAGTAGAGGTTGTCACTGGAAGGAGATGGCTTAAGAGGCTGCAACAGCTGGTTTTGCCCTGTGTCTGGGATGTTGCCAGGAGGGTGGAGGGTCTGCTGGGTGTGCAAGACCGAAGCTGTACTCTGACTAGACAGGTTACCTGCCAAAGCAAACACATGGCTCCAGGAAACATGTAAAGCTTTTCCCAGTACACATACAGGCACTTGCTATTTTCCCTACCAGAACCAGGGACTAAATCCGTGGCCTTGCATATGCTAGACAAGTGCTCTGTCACTGAGCTACTTCCCTAGCCTTTAAAAAATTTTGTTTTTGACACATGATCTTGCTAAGTTGGCCCAGATGCTTCCCTCTTAAGAGCCTCCTTCCTCCTGAACAGTGCGGACAGATAACAGGTGTGTGACATCGTGCCTGATTTAGGTACTAGGCTTGTTCCATTAATCTGTCTTACTGAATGATTAATGATGAGTCAAAAACAAAACAAAACAAAACAAACAAACAAACAAACAAACAAACAAAAAAACTGATGAAGGGAAAAAGTCCTTACTAACATGAAGGGAAGCAAAGAACGATATTGAGAATCCTCCAGAATTGTCAGGGAAAATTCTAAGCAGAGGTTACCTGCAATATATTTGTATAACAATCCAACATCTTTTTCTAAGAGGGCAAAAAGTGATCATGGAAATGTAAAAGTAGAACTGTTGTAGTCAAATATAGGCTCATCTTTATAATCACATCTTTATTAATCAGTGCATGATTAATACAGGCACCTGTCTGTAATCCCAACACTTGGGAGGATGATGCAGGAGCCTTCAAGTTCAAGGTCAGATTGGGCTACAAAGTGAGTTCAAAGCCAGGGATATAGTTCAGCAGGACAAGAGCCTGCCTGGAAAGCACAAATTCCTGAGTTCAAGTCCCACTACCAAAAAAACCCCAACAACAAAAAACAAACCAGTAACTGAAAAACAATGAGTTCAAGGCCAGCCTGAACTGCAGAGTAAAACCTTATCTCAACGAAAGCAAAAATAAAACCAAACCTTTTTACCCTAATTCAAGTAGACAAGCCATAGCCCATTTTAAGATTGTAATTTAAATAGTTTCTTTATAAGCACTGTCAGTTCATTATCCTGATATATATGAAATAAAAATCTTCATCAAGGATGTTACAACTTAGACTTACCCAAGAATTTATTTGATGTTTACACTGATGCCATGTGCTATTATGACTAAGTCATTCACTAAAAGGAAGAATACTGAACAGAGTATAAAATACTTGCTTCCAAGTGTCAAAGAGTTCTGTTAAATATGAATTGTATAAGTTAACAGGAAAGGTGAATGTTTAGGGTAATGAACAGTTATAAATGAAGATGGAGTACAGTGGAAGAAGCCATTATAATCACTCTCCTTTTGCAGACTCAAAAACAGGTTTAACAAATATGAGGAATAGAGAGTCAAGGAGGTCAGAATATTAGGAAAGCTAGATGCTCCCAGAACATCCACATAAACAGCCGGAGACAGAAACAAAATAGTTTAGTGTGGTGCTTTTTACCTGAAAGCTGTGGGCTTTTGTTCCCCAACAAACTGCTGCGACTAGATTTGCTGCTTTTGCTCTTAGTGGGCCGCCGTCTTCTCCCTGAAAGGGGTGCAGCTGGGGGAATAATAACAGCAGGGGGAACCTTGCCCAGTTTTGTATACAAAGATTCAATTTCATGCTTTTGGCGACTCTGAAGATCCTGAATCTCTTTAAGATGCCTACAGAAGACAAACAAATTGAAATATTATAGCTATCTTTGTTCAAATATAAATCAAAGCAAACTCTCCAGCTGGGGATGTAGCACAGTGATAGTGTTTGTATAGCGTGCCTAAGGCCCTGGGTTCAATCTTCTGCACTACAACAAACAATACGCTCTTAAATGCATTCCAATACTTACCTAGTTAGAAAACTTTCCCCAAATGTACTGCCAGAGAATTTCTACTTTGTCAATGCATTTTGCTATCTTCATTATCCAATAAATTTCTAGCCAACCAAAAATAAGTGACAGCTGGATGTGGTGGCTCACACCCGCAATCCCAGGACTAGGGAAACTGAAGCCGGGGGAAGCATTGAGCTCAAGGCCAGTCTGCACTACAAAGTAAGTTCAAAGCTAGTTTGAACCACCCTGTCTCAAAAAACAAAAGACCCCCCCCACCAAAAAAAAAAAAGATCCTAAACAAAGGTTGATAATTTGTTAAGGGAAAAAGATTTTCTGACGTTTAAGGACATATATGCAGGACAGGTGAAATGACTACTCTCATCTAATTTGCCAAAATAATTAACAAAACCTGCTAATATAATCATACAGTCCAGTGCCACTGCAAGAGTCATTTGATAGATTAAATCCAGGGCCCTCCACTGAGCTACATCCTCACCCTTTTAAAAATCTTAAGACAAGATCTATCCATCCATCCATCCATCCATCCATCCATCCATCCATCCATCCATCCATTTATCTTACTAAGTCTCCAAACTGCCCAGGTTGGGCTTGAATTTGATAACCTCCTGTCTCAGCCTCCCCAAATGTGTGTACAAAAATGCTTGCTGAACTAGTTCATAATAGGGGCCACTTTGCTTTCACAGGAGAAAACAAACGTACTTTTCTCGTAGGCGTCGCAGCTCTAACTTTAGGTCTTCATCTTCAATGTCTGACTCATTGTCACTGCTCATGTATGAGGAGTTGAATGAATTGCTAAGGCTCTGACTCAGAGTCTGGAGGGGAAGGCTTTTTGAGCACAGCTGTTGGGGAGAGTGTGGACTGCCTGAACCATCATCCACATCCCTCCCTAGAAAGGCAGCCTCCAGGTCAGAAGATGGTCCGTTTAGATGTGAAGGCTCTGAGAGTTCAGGCTTTTCTTTCTTTGGTATCACGGCAGGAACAGCTTGTTCTGAATCCCTAAAAGGAGATGTCTCTGGTCCCTCTTTCTTTGCCTCAGTGATCTTTTCTTCAGTTCTTGATACGGAGAATCGTCCCACTTTGTTTGCTGTTGCTGGCACCTGAAAATGTCCAACCATGGTAGGTTGCCCAGTTTCTGACTTGGCTTCTGAAGAAGGAGTTTTGTGCGCACTATCTGGCACATCTGAAGAGATACCAGGGATTGTTACTCCATTAGGCCCTGGCTTCACCAGTGTACTCTCTGGACTACTACTTGATAGTACCGAGGACTCTGATGAGCTGGACTCAAAATGAACAGACTTTGCATCTTCTGCCTTATTTTTACTCTCTTTCTGGGCATCATCCTTCGCAATGGAAACCTGGTAGAAGAAAAGACAACAAAGTGAGATTAAAAACTGTAGCCCCCAATATTTAATTTCCAGTGTGGATAATTACAAAGGAAATCACTATTTCTCAGTCCATGAAAGACTGAATCTCTATAAAGTCACTCCATATTTGAATGTGAAAATAAGTTGGTTATCATTACAGAGAACAATTTATCTGTATTGAGCTGCAGATTCTGAGTGGCTGCAGAATAAATAATTTACTTTCATTTCTCATGTTACACACAGGATTCATACCTCAGTCAAAATATACAGGTTCTGGGCTGGAGAGATGGCTCAGTGGTCTAAAGCACCTACTTGAAACAAGCTTGGCAAAGCACAAGGACCGC